TTAAAAAAAAGGCACGCTCGTGGCATTTTGGTGATCACCACAATTTGTTTGTGTTTGTTTTCCTTCATTTTTCGTCTGCTTTTTTTTTTTTTTTTTTTTTTTTACACGATTAACCGCGGTGACTTTTAATGCATTATTAAGTTTTTCTTTTTTTTTTTTTTCCGGTCACAAATTATGCATTTTTTTTTTTTTTTAAATTTAACCTTGAAAAATTTTTTCAAGGTGTTGCATCATCTTTGAATCCCATTTTGTTTCCATCGAAAACAAAAATTTTTTTTTTTTTTTGTTGGGTGTGCATTCGCGGTCGGAAAATTTTTTTTTCTCGATTTTTCTTTATTTTCCCGCAATTTTCCTTCTTTTAAATGAATGATGAAATCGTTTATCGTACTCGTACCACCCCAAATAAATAAATAAATAAATAAAATTTGTTTTTAATGAATTTAAATTGTCCTGTTGAATTGTCATAAATTTAATTATTAAAAAATAAATGATGTATTTAAAAATAATTTTTTTTTGGGGGAAGGGGAGGGGAGGGGTGAGGGGAAACGATTCAATCAATAATCGATATTTTATTTATTTAAATAAAATCGATATAATTATTAAAATTTATTTTATTCTTATTAATAATAATTTAGAAGAAATAAAATCGTTTAGATTCGTAGTCATCTTCATTAATTAATGAAGATGCGAGAAGAAGAAGCAATTCTTTTTTCTTTTTTTTTTTGACGTGGCTTTAGATTTTTGTGAAGGAAAAAAATTTTTTTTTGTTTTTTGTTACTTGTTTTTAAACAAAACGTGTTTTGTTCGGCAAAAAATTAAAAAAAAAAAAAAATCAAGGGAAACGGGATTCAAGTGGGTGCAGCAATATTTTGTTATATTTACAATAATTAATAAGGAGGAGGAGGAGGCGGCGGCGAGGGCGGCAATTAAAACGCGAAAATTTTTTTTTTCCCGTGTCAAGAAATCGATTTATATATATCGCCGATTGATTCGCGTTTATTTCGATATATCGAAATCCATCTATCGTTTTGTGTTTATTCATTTCGATATTCCTTGGAGTTTGTGGGAGGAAGTAATTTCGTCGTTGTTTGAATGTAATGAGTCTCGGAAATGGTGATGGTTAAGTATTCAAAAATCGTAAATTTAAACTTTGTTTTTTTTTTTCTTCGAGTTTTTACTTGTTTGTTTTTGTTGTTGTCGTTGTTGTTGTTGTTGTTGTTTGAAATCTTTTTTTTTTTTTTTTTACTTGAATCGTTTTCGTGTTTTTAATTGTCATGAAAAAACCAAAAGGAAAAAATTTTTATTTATTTATTTATTTTTTTTTTTTTTTACAATTAACGGTTTATCAATATCGATTAAATATTAAAAACATGGTTACAAATAAATAAATAAATAAATAAATAAACCTGTTGATTAAAAAACAGGTTTTCGGTGAAAAACTTAGGTAACAAATATAAAACAATGGATTTAATTAGTAAACAATGTCACTGTGTTACATGTAGTCGCGCCTAAAAACTCGAAAGTTTCTTATTTATAAAAAATTATAATTCGAATAGCGTTTGTTGTTGTTTGTGTTTGTTTGTTGTAGGTGTTTTAATTTTTTTTTTTATTAATAATATTTATGACAAAACCTATTTATTATTATTATTATTTTAAAAAAAACTTATTCAGGTTTTATTTTGTTGTCAGTGCTCCCGGGTTTGTTTTTGTTTTTTTTTTCTAAAGGGATAACATAATTCATTTCCGTGATGAAATTATTCAATGCACTCGGTTAACCCATTTAATGACAGTTTTGATGTCCTGGGAAAATTTTTTTTTTTTTTTTTTTTTTTTATAAACGGATAAAATAAAAATGGGTATTCGAAAAATTTAAGTTGATGGTTTACGTTTCTGACACTGACATACTTTAAAATTACGAGGAATAAATAAAATTTGCCCCCCCCTCCTCCTCCTCCTCGCCGAGTCCGGGAGAAAAAGGTATAAGGAAAAGTAACCTCATTCAAATGTCAATCTTTCGTGTTTACACGCACACACAAGGGGCAGAAAGGAAAACACTGGTTGAAATGTCTTTAGATAACTTATCTTACTAAGTAAAGGTACCAAGAACGATAATGATAATGATGATGATGATGATGAACCCGGGAAATAATAAAAAGGGAAAGAAGAAATTTTTTTTTTTTGAATGTATTGAATGTTGTCGATGATTTTAATAACAAACGATTTGGAAAAATAAAAAAAACAGACGTGAAAGATGTTTATTATTATTATTATTACTTTTTAAGAGCGTAAAAAAGTGCGTAACGACATGGCGCCGAAGATGGATATTAGCCACCAGATTAAGTTTTTTTTTAATTAGGTTTTTATATAATTTGTAGTTGATTTGGTAAATGTTTGTAGTTTGTAAAACATGGCCGACGCGATCAAGTAGCAGTTTAATCGTTCGATTTTTTAAATTTAAATTTTATTTGTCGTTAAATAGTAATAATAAATTTAAAAAAGTGAGAGTGAGAGAGATAGAAAATGTTTTTTTTTTTTTTTTTTTATTGAAATTGGAAAAGATTTTCTAGTATGAGTAAATTTAGTTTTGGTAAAATGTTTTTGTCAATTCAACGGGGTGTAAAAAGTTTTTTTAACTCTCCGTATAATAATTAATTATTTTTCTTCTTTAACTTAAATAAATCTTATTTTATTCTCGTAAATCCGTCACTCGTAACCGACCGAGTCAACAAAATGGGGATCTCACATGGGTTTGAAGAAAAAGAAAATTATTACGCGGCAACAATAAGAAAATAAAAGAAAGAAAAAACGACGACACTGCATCGCACACTTGGAAAAGTTAAAATAATAATAATAATATTCAATAGAATTCAACGAACTGTGAATTTTTATTTTTACGGCCAAAAACAGGGGAGAGAGAGAGAGAAAAGGGAGGAGGGAGAGAAAAAGGGGATAAAAACATTTCGGAAGAGAGAGAAAGAGTGAGAGAGAGAAAGGGAGAGAGGGAAAAAAAATTTGTTATTGATTTCTCATTGGGGATCCCAAATTCCCATTATGACTCCTCGATAAAAAACAAAGAGAGAAAAAATATACAGAAAGAGAGAGTGAGAGTGAGAGAGTGAGAAAAACAAAACAAAAAATTACTTTTTATTATTATTATTAAATTTAATTCATTTATTTGTTTAAATGAAAATTGGTGTCAATGATATTATGTCTCGTTTTTTTATTTGGGGGGGGGGTGTGCGCGCGACACATACGACGGTTACTTACGTACGAAAGTAATTAGAAGTGGGGGGGGGGGGAAATCAAATGATCGAATTGTGTGAATGATGGAGTAAATATTTAGACTTGACGTCACGGACGGGTATAACCGCAGAATTTTCCTCCCAAAAGTACAAAAAAATCACGAAGGAAATCGATTCTTTGAAAAAAAATACAAACGACTATCGAACATTTCGATATATCGATAATCTCGTTTTTAAGTTTTTTTACTTGCTCTTGAAAAAGTTTTCTTTGGAAAATATTTTTTTTTTAAAAAAATTTCGCAACTTTTTCTTTTGAAAGAAAAATTTAGTTTTTTCTTGTTGTTTACTTTTGAGAAAAAAAGTAGGAAAAAAAAATTAAAATGTAATTAATGACGAAAAAAAAGAGAGAGAGAGAGTGAGAGAGAAAAAAACATTGCAATTTAAAAATTGCCTAATGCGCAATAAAACTCGGAGAGAAAAAAATGGAGAGAGAGAGAGAGAGAGAGAGAAAATTTTTTTTCTGCTTTTTCCAACGCGTAAAAATTATTACCGAATACGAATTTAACCCATTAAGAAAATGGGTTGTGATGAGAGTCATTTTCTTGTTTTTTTTTTTTTTTTTTTTTTTTGCCTACGAAAAAAAAGGTAATTAGGTAAAAAAAAAAAAAAAAATAATAATAATAATAATAATAATAATAATAATAATAATAATAAAATCGTGACCCAAATTCTGAATTAAATTATTTAATTTCATCGTAATTACCTGTGATGAATTTATTATTATTATTGTTGTTGTTATGCAAACAAATTTTTTTTTTTTTAATTTGGAAAACTCTTGATCCTTTTCCTTTTTTACCTTTTTCTTTCTTTTCTTTCTTCCTTTTTTTCTTCCTTCCACATTTAAACGAGAATTCTACAAAATTCGAAAAAAAATAAATAAATGTACATGGACGAGTTAAAATTAAATTTTTTTTCCCCCCTGTAAAGGTTAATTAACTTCCTGTTTTAAACTTTGCTATATGATCGATGTGATTGGTTCAAGTTGGCCACACCGGAAGTCGACAGTTTACGCGTGATTTTTTAAACGCACGCATACGTATACTTAAGTATATAATTTTACAAAAAAAATTATTTTTATTAATTTATCACGAGTGATTAGAACGCATAATAATTACAAATCGAGAGAGAGAGAGAAAAGGAAAAAAAAAATTTTCGAATCGAACGCATAAAATTTCGTCCGGGATTTGTGGATGTTGAAAAAAAAAAAAAAATGTGCGTTTAATTTGTAAAAGATTGCCCCGTAAATAAATAATAAATAAAAAAAAAAAACCATTTAAAAATGATGGCATTTTCTCTCTCTCTCTCTCTCTCTTTCTCTCTCCCTCTCTCTCTTTCTCTCTGAACCGAACGTTGTAGTAAATTATACATAGGAGCAAAAGGAAAACAGGAAAAATAATCGATTCGTTTCGTTTTTTTTTTTTTTTATATTAGACCTTTGGATTTTTTTCATTAAGGATTGTTTACATCCGTAAACTTTGTGTACATTTTTTTTTTTTTTTTTGTATGAACAATAGAAGGCTGTGGATTTTAAATCTATGATTTAGTGTATTTGATATGCTTTTTTAGTCGGTGTGTAAAAAATGTTTTTCTCATATGAGAAACGATTATTTTAAAATTTTACACTTGAAAAAAAACCTTTTATTTTATTTTATTTTTATTTATTTATTTTTTATTTTTTTTATTTTTCTAGTGGGGGGCATGAGCCGACCTTCAAAAGCGACGCCCATGGCTAAAAAAGTCGCGCCTCCAGCTGTTCCAGAGGTTTTCCGACATTCTGGAAGCTCTTTTGGCTCTGCAGGGTACGATTCAAGCGAGGACGGTTTCATTCCTCTACCACCACCTGATGCTCAATCCAGTAAGTTTTCTTTTTTTTTTTTTTTTTTAAATAAAATTTCCATTTTTAAAAATGGGAAAAAAATAATAATAATTTTGTTTTTTTTTTGCGTGCAGACATTAGCGATCGAAGTGATATTTATGGAGTTTCCGGAAAATCTCCAGGTCCCGGAAGTCAATTCACTTATCAATCATTTACTTTTCCCGGAAAGGGAATTTATTATCACCATCAGCAGAGTCTACAAGAAGATCAAGGAATCGATTTAACCCAGGTAACGGAAAATTAATGTGAAAAGGAAAATATTTGATTTATGATTGACGCACGCACGCACATACGCACACACACGCACGCATGAACACGCACTCAATTTTTTTGATTTTTACGATGGAAAAAAAAAAAAAAAAGATGTGCCACATAATTTGAGAGATGAGATATGAAATTTTATGGTTCCTTGATAATGTTTACTTACATCGACATATTTCTTGTGAAAATGTTTTTTTTTTCTTCTTCTTCTTCTTCTTCTCCCCAATATTTTTTTTTATGGCATCTAAAATTTTTTTTATGCGTATATTGTGTCGAGTGATTTCTCGATTAAATTTTTTTTTTTTTTTTTTCCCCGTTGTAAATTTAGAGTCCCGGAAGAGACAGTCCAGGATCGTCGGGATCTGGTTCCGGTTCGGGATCTCGTCACAGCACAGCCAGTTTGGATTCTGGTCGCGCTTCCGGATCTCATTTATTAGGATCGAGAGCTCCAGGTTCGACTTTGAGTTCGAGTCCGAGATGTTCGATATCGAGTTCGAGCATCGTGTCGTCTGAACATGGGGGACCGGGAGTCCGAGTCGAAAGACTCATGCAGCAGGGTATACCTGTGAGTTTTCTTTTTTTTATTTAAATAAAAATTTTCTATTCTCAAAGGCAAGAAATTTCGCTTTCTCGAACTTTATTAATTAATTAATTAATTAATTAATTATTTGAATTGGAAAAGTTAAATAAATGGTTTAAACAATGGCGGGAGATTAATAAAAACGACAAAAACATCAAACGAAAACAGGGCGCGGAAAAAGGAAAAATTAATTTTCAAAATAAATTTTTGTGGTTTCTTTACCTTTTCACAAAAAGAATATTTTCGGTTTTTTTTTTTTTTTTTAAGGTTAAAAAAAGGATAAAAAATCGAAAGGTTTCACAAAGGAAAATTTATTTCGAAACCTGGATTTTTAAAATATTTCTTTACGATAAAAATTTATTTATTTATTTATTTATTTTTTTTTTCTACTTTTGCTTTTCCCTTAAAAAAGGTTTTAAACGATTCCCAAAAAAAAAAAAAAAAAAAAAAAAATTTTATACTTTTTTTTTTTTAATTTTTAAAGTTGGTAGCAGTACCAAGGAAAATATTCGTGAGGATACGCTCGAATTTTCTTTTTTTTTTTTTTTAATTTGATTTTTCAATTATTGTTTAATTTCTTCTTTTTTTTTTCGATTGGCAGCCCTTACGCAAACACACAAAAAAAGAGAATTGAAAGGAAAAAGGAAAACATCCAGATTTGTGATAATAATCCGATGTATTTATATATATATATTTCCGGCAAAATTCCAAAATTTCATTTTTAACGTCATTAAATAAATAACGATTTTTATCATTTATTATTATTATCACCATTACTATTACTGCCAATGTCACAGTCATGGGAATTATCCTTTTCTCTCTCTCTCTTTCTTTCTTTTCAGGATCAGGATATAATTCACGCATGGCTTCAGGATCTTCATTTCGAAGAATATTTTGCTTTGTTCGTGTCAGCCGGATACGACATGCCGACGATATCAAAAATGACTCCGGAAGATTTAACCGCGATCGGAATTAAAAAACCGAATCCCAGGAAAAAATTAAAGGCTGAAATAGCTCAGTTAAATATATCCGACGGATTGCCGGAATACATACCCGTAAGTTTAAAGTTTTTTTTTTTTTTTCTTTTTATGGAAAAATTATGATAGTCGGAAGGTTGGTACAATTGGGGATATTTAAACGTAAATAATTAATGCTTTACAAAAAAAAAAAAAAAAAAAAAAACAACGTTCACAATTATCAAGGGAAAAAAAACGTTTTGATTGATAACTAGTTTTTTTTTTTTTTTCCGGCTTCTCCATAATTTTACTGGATGAAGCAATAAAAAAAAAAAAAAAAACGGTGACTTTTCTGACCCGAAATCCTAGTTTTTAGGCTGTTTTTTCCCCTCCGGCACTTTGCAATTTTTTTCCGTTTTCCCCACTCCCCTACCCTCCCCACTCCTTTAAATCGTGTGTAAAGTAATCGTTCATTTAAGTGCCTTCAAGATATAATGACTTTAAAAAAAAAAAAAAAGTTTAAAGAAAAATAGAGAAGAAGAAAGGGTAGAGAATTAGTAAAGAGGGGAGGGAGAGAGAGAGGGGGGATATTTAACATCTAGTTTTTTTTATTATAATTAATTATCATCATTATATTCTTTTTTGATGAGGAAGTGTGTTCTAAAAAATAACAAATCGTCTACTTAACGTCTGCGAAAACGCAGTTGAAAAACGAGAAAATGTTAAAAAGATAGGTAGGTAGAGAGAGAGAGGGGGGGGGAAATATACTTAAAAAAAACAAGTCGTGAAAAAACAGGATTTTCTGACAACTTTGTTTTCTGTTATTTCCGACGACTATTATTGATAAGATGGAAGAAAGCAATTAGCAAGTTTTTAATTGGTGATTTTGATGGTTACGATCGTGTTTCCACGGTATAATTGCCACAATAATAATCCATGTTAAATGATGATCAATCGATCGAGAAGATCGATCGATCGATCGTGATCGGGTAGTTAATGGGCGTTAGAAAAAGGTGGTGGTCTGAGAGTTTAAACAACAAAGTTTTCGTTGGAAACAAACGTTTAATAATTTTCTCCTCCCCTTCCCCCCCCTCTCTCTCTCTCTCTCTCTCGGGGTTTTTTTTTAATTGAGCAGTTTGTTGTTGTTGTTGTTGTTGTTCACGATTCGATTGTTTACAATTGTTTATCGGATTTCCTTTTGTGTGAATGTTCGAATGTGTGTGTGCGTGTGCACATTTCCGAATATACTCAATAACTTTTATCTAAACAAATATCGTAATAATAATAATAATAATAATAATAGAAATAGACTACAACGCATTGAAAATTAGAAATTTAAATGAATGATTGTAATTTACTCGAAACTGTTCTTTTTTTTTTTTCCTCCCCCCTTCACTCTCTCCTTCTCCCTCCCTTCTCTTTATTCCTTTTTCTTTTTTTTTTTGCCTTCTTATAAAGCCGTCAATGGTTCAACTTTTCTTATTTTTTTTTCTTTTTTTTTTTTCTCACAAATAAAAAAAAAAAAAGTTTGTAGTTAAATTAAATAGTCTGAGAGTTTAAAAGTAAAGTTGTCGGTTTGCCCAAGGGAGTCACACAATTACTCGTAAATATAACTGTTTTGAACGTTAGCCCTCCCTAAGAGAGAGAGAGAGAGAGAGAAAAAGGAGAGTCGTCCCGTTTAAATTAAGGGAAGGAAGAAGTTAGAATGCCAATTTAAAACCTGGAATTTTTTTCGTTTTTTCGCTCCAAAATAAAAAAAAAGTAAATTTGTTGCAACGACAAAAAACATTTTTCAAGATTTGAATTGATCGATATGGTATTTAAAATTTTCCTTTTTTTTCTTCCTTTTTTTCCTTTTCGGGTTTTGACGCTTAAAAAAAGAGAAAAAAAAAATAGATATCCATTTGTGTAATTTCTGTGTTTTTTTTTTTTTTCCTTTTTTTCCTTTTTAAATATTGATTTATTTCCGTTTCATTTATTACTCACGTGGCAGAAGCTCTTAAAGAACCTTTTAGTGGTTTTAAACGTGTCAATGATTTCACTTCCGGTGTTTTTGTAAGTAAAGGGATTTCAATTCTTTGTATTAAAAAAAAAAAAGACGGAATGGAAGGGAGGGAAATTTATTTTTGTATTGTTTGGATGAGGGAGGGGGAGGGGGTGGATTTGTTAGCGTCTTATTAAGAAGTTCGAAAGAGTAATCACCGTAAAAAAAAAAAAAAAATAATAATAATAAATAACAATTTTTTTTTTTTTTTTTTTTGATTTCCAAGGGTTCCATGGAAGAATGGCTGAGGTTACTTAGACTAGAGGAATACATACCCATATTTAGGCAGCAGGGATATCAATCCGTCGAAGATGTTACACAATTGGCTTGGGAAGATCTCGAAGAAGCTGGAGTTGTTAAACTAGGACATCAAAAACGACTTTTATTAGCCATTAAAAGAGTCAAAGACATTCGTGCTGGAAAAGTTTTTTCACATTTAGGATCGCACACACTCATAACTCAGGTAAGTAATTTTTATTTTTTTTTTTTTTAAAAAAAAAGAAAAACCGGAAATGCCGTTTTTAACGACATCCGGAATGTGAAATTTTCCACGTCGGTGTTTAGTGTTTTTTTTTTTTTTTCTTCTTCTTCTTCTTAACCACAACAACCTCGCTTTTTTTTCTTCTTCTTTCTCGAGCTTTACTTGACTTTTTTTCGTTTTTCTTTTAGTATTGGGGGGAGGGGGGAATGAGTCAGTCGTGTCTTTAGATGTTCATTTATCGGTTGTTAAATGTAATCTCAAAATTTTAAATGTTTCTTCGTGGAAGCATGAAAAAATGATTTTTCTTTTCTCGCCATTTTAATTCGGTTCCTTTCAAATTGAAAACTATTGTATCATCATCATCATCATCATCATTATTATTATTATTATTATTATTATTATTATTATTATTATTATTTTATATATGTAAAAAAGATGTAGAAGCTTTCGGGATTTTTTTTTAAATAAGAAGTTGCGAGGGTGACGAACGATGGGGAAATTTTTTTTATTTTTTTTTTTAACTTTTTTTACTTTTTCTCTAGAGAAATGCTGGAGAGGCGGTAAGAAGGTATTTAACCGTTTGCTGGAACCCCCTTCTTGTTTCCCCCTCCCCTCATCTCTTACAGTTCAATCCCTTTCCCGTGTTTAGGACCCCTGAGATATTTTGTGTTTTTTTTTTTTATTCCTTTCTCACCTTTTTACTTTTTGCTTTTTTTTTCCTCCTTCCCTCTTTCTCTGCTCTTTCATCTTTGTTTTCCGGAAATGAGGGGGAAAAAAAAATAATAATAATAATAATTTTCTTGGTTTAAATTGTACTCTACTCGGTTTCTCTTTAATGCGATTTTAAAATAAATGAGTGAAAGTAAAGATTTTCTTTGTTTTTGTTTTTGTGTGTGTGTGTGGCAATTTTTTTGGGGGGCCATTACGCAATCGTAGATTATGATTTTGTCAATTATAATCACTGATGATGACGTAACGATAAAAGGAAAATTTTACTATTAATAATAATAATAATAATAATAATAATAATAATAATAATAAAATGTTTTTTTATATTACGTAAAATTTAAAAAGAAAATAATAGATGGTTTTTTTTTGTCATTTAATTATTATTATTATTATTATTATTATTATTATTATTATTAATTTTATTTTTCAAAAAAAAAAAAAAAAAAAAAATTCCCAACGTTTCCGATTCACATTTTGTTTATTATTATCATTATTATTTTATTTTCATTCACTTTTGCTAAATTGCATTTTTTCACAATGAAGCGAACGGGAGTTGATCAATGTTTTGTTTTTTTTGTTTTTTTTTTTTTTTTTTAAATTGATTAAAAAAATTTAATTTGATTATTTTTTAATTCTAAAACCACGACGTTTTATTTGTTTTTCTTTTTCCCCCCTCCCCTCTCTCCCTCTTCTCTCTTCGTTTTTTTTTTTTAATTTACGAACTCGAAGTGTGGCGATTGACCTCTCTAGTTTTTTATTTTTATTTTTTTTTGTATTAGAAATAATGAGGTTATATTTTTGACCTTTTAATCTTTCCATTTTTTTTTTTTTTTTTTCTAAATAAAAAAATATTACTTTTCGACATTTGTTTAACATTTATTTAAATAATCTTTTAAAAATAAAATAAAAAAAAGAAGAGAGAAAGAGAGAGAGAGAGAGAGAAAGAAATAATTATAGTTATCGAAAGTTTTATAGTTTACGAATCTAATAAATATTAAATAGGCTTTACTTACTGGATTTTTCCAAAGTCGTAATTAATTTTTTTTTTTTGTAATTTATTTATCATTATTATTATTATTTCGAATGAGATTGAGTATAAAAGGAAAAGAAAAATAAAAATAAAAGAGAGAAGGAAAAATTAATTTTGATAAGTAATAATAATAATAATAATAAACAATTGCGTTGGGTTTTGCGATTCGATAAATGAAAAGAAATTATTAGGAAAAGTTTTGTGTATGAGACGATGACGTCATTATTGACCCGTGTACGACCTTAATTATTTATATATATTATTAAATATGATAATGATAACAATGATATTGATAATAATTTATTCGAACTGAAAAATTCCTTTTCTTTCGATTTAAAACAAAAAAAAAAAAATATTTTCTCGTCATCCATTTTTCTTTTTTTTCGTGCGTTTTTCCATTTAACTTTTGAAACGGTTTAATTTATTAGTACTCGAATTCGAAAACAGTAAATTTAAGTTTTTTCCAGTTTTTGACAGGTGAATATAGAGATAAAGAGATTCAAAAAAAAAAAAAATTTGCCTTAAAGTTATTTGAGTTGAGCGTTAAAAATTATTTTGCGGTCTCTCTCTCTCTTTCTCTCTTTTTCTCTTTCTCTATCCCTCCCTCGTGGTGCTGTTGCTGAAGTTGGAAGTTTGCTTGAAAGCGTTTTTCCTTTTTTTTCTTCCTCTCTCTCCTTTTTCCCTCTTCATCCGCCCCCCCCCCCCGTATTATTTCTCTTTTCACGATGAACGTTTTCATTGTTTTTGCCTTTTTTTATTTTATTTATTTCACTCGAATGTTTTGCATCCATCTTTCTCTTTTGTTTATTTTTTTCGAAATGATTATTATTTTTTTTTTTTCAACGTTGCTTTCCCTAGCTAAGCTAGCGAAATAAATAATGGGGGGAAGGAAAAAAAAAAAAGAAAAACGGGGAAAAAAAAATTAATTAATTAATAAAAAACAAAATAAAGTAGTTGCATGTATAATGTATGTCACGTTAGGCTGAGCTTCACACACCAAGTCCAGGAAGTGTTGAAGTTCCATATCACAACACGATGACGAGATCTTTTCAACATCATTGGGATTTGGATACTACGAGACAGCAGTTAGGATACACGTCGCCTTATTGTCCGGATATTGTGCCAATCAAGGTACGTCGTCTCCAAAACACAAAAAACCCCCCACCCACGCACCCATTTACCCGGTGTACTTACATACATACGCTACTGCTTAACGCTAGTGTAAAACGTAAATTTTAGTTTATTTATTTTTCTTAACTTAAATTTATTTATTTTATTTTTTTTTTTTACTTCACTTTGCAAATGTAAATTTTTTTTTTTTTTATTTGTTTTTCAATGAGATTTATATCGTTTGATTATGCGGAAAATTTTTTTTTTCAAATTGGGAAATTTTTTTTTTTTTTTTTTTTTTTTTTGTAGATACGAGGCGGTAGAGGAAAATCTTTAGAAAGTTTAGAAGATGGAGAACGAATGGGAGGAACGCATCATACGTTCAGTTCTGAAAACACTGGAACTTTTTATTACAATAATAGTAATTTCAACACCGGTAATAATTTGCAAGTACATTGCGGAGGATGGAGAAGGTCTTACGAAGATGGAGACATAACACCCACGAACGAAGCCATTGTGGCCTTGCACGAGGTGATGATGATGATGATGATGATAATGATTTTATTCCCATAATTCACGCAAAACGTCAACAACTCTAAATCTATTTATTTACGTGTTAATTATAGGGCGGCGGAACTCTTCCTCGTCCTCGCGGTTTGGTCAGGCCCAGACCTGTTGCTAAAATTCCGGCTACCAGAAATACGGCTTCACATTATTTCGAAAAGCCTTCGTATAACATATACGACATGAAAGAATTTAATTCTGGTAAGAAAAATTACGTTTCGTTGATTGTTTGTTTGTTTTTTTCTCTCTCTTTACGAAAACGTAACGAATTTCAAAATGTAATCGTTTTTTCAGAACCCTTAAAAGACGCGGATTTGATACAATCTGATCCTTCGGGAGATATGTCAGAGAAATGTACAGTCCCTCCTTCTATGCCTCCAATAAGTGGAATCTACGATTATAAATACAGATATTCCGTGGCCGAAAGCAATTCGGCATTGATTCACAATAGTCCGATAATTAATTACAATACTCCCGCCTTGAGAAGACGTCCTCCATCGCCTCCAAAAAGGCAGAGTTCTCATCCGAACGATCTGCAAACTTCATTAGGTACGGAAATAAATTCAATTGTGACGTAACGTAAAAAAAACGTTCGAGAGTTTGGATTCATTATTAAGTTTTTTTTTTTTTTTTTTTTTTTTTTCTGTGATAATCAGACTGTAACACGCCCAAAGACAATGGAGCACATCAACAGACAACAATAGTAGAGCTTCACGCACATTCCTCGGTACCTCTGCCAAATTATAGTTCTCCGTCGCCTTCATCAGAGTTAACCAGTCAACTAGAAACGTTGCATTTGAATTGGAGGAACGAAAACGATCAGGAAGACGAACAACAACTCATAGCAGCTTTAGCGCAAGTAAGAAACGGATCCGATGCCAGTTTTAAGGTGAATTTCAAACCGGGAAAATTGGAAAAATTTTTTTTTTTGGTATGCTCGTGCGTTTAAACGTTTTGTTGTAATTGTTTTCCAGTCGAGTTCAAGCACCGAATCGGATTCCATACCTTTTGCAAATGAAAACGCGGGAACAATAAAACAAAGAGCCAGGTGTCAGGGAACGGAATATGCCGGCGAGGGAAGGACGGGAGAAACTCAAGGACAAGAACCCGCCGACGTTTTGTCCGATATAGGTAACATGTTGGCAAATTTGACTGATGAATTAGATGCCATGTTAGAGGAGGAAAAGAGACAAGGGCTGAATATGGAATAAATAAATAAATAAATTTAAAATTTGTACCATAATTTTTATATACTAACAAAGAAAACACAGAGTGTAGTAGTCGTCGTTTATATGTTCGTTCTTTTAGAGAAGGCGGTTTTATTATTATTTTTTATTATTTTTATTATTTTTATTATTATTATTCCCTCTTCTCGATTTGTTATTTAAATTTATTATTTAGGGCATTAACGGCAAGCAAAAAAAAAAAAAAAAACCGAATAATGCATAGAAGCGATTTGCCATTTTCAAATTCTCGGTGTTATTTAAAAAAAAAAAAAAAAAAAAACGTTATTAAATATTATTTAAAAAATTCTTTATTATTATTATTATTATTATTATTATTATTAACATTAAATTAAAATCCCGTGAATAATAATAATATTAGAAATTTCGAAAAAAAAAAAAAAAAAAAAAAAAAAAAAAAAGAATAATATAACGTCCAACATTACTAAATGTATATTTTTTATAAAAAAGGTAAGGCTTACCTACCTTACCGTCCACAAGTAAGACTTAAAAAAAAAAAAAAAGGTTTTTTTTAGGTATAAATACTTTAAAATATAATAATGATAATAATAATGATAATATATAAGTTGAAAGTCTATAAGAATCGGTTGAAAATTTACTTCCACAAATTTTATTTAAAATTTTTTTTTTTTTATACGTTTTAATGGATTTTAAAACCATTTTATTCGTTTTTTTTTTTTTTTTTTTTTTTTTTAATGCATAAACGAAGCAAATAAAAAATCGATAGATGATGATAATGATGATGATGAAACGAGATTTTATTTATTAAATTTAAATAGAAAAGAAAAAAAAGAATGAAAGAAAAAATGTCTCTTTTTCTTCTTGATTTTATTAATATGTATTTGTGGTTTTTTTTTTTTTTTTTGATTTTATTTTAATTTAACAAAACAAAAAGAAAGCTTTTTGCGCTTTTTTTTATTATCATTATCGTAATCGATTTCATTTTTTCGATTAATCGTATCGATCGATTTCGATAAAAAAAAAAAAAAAACATTTTTTTGTTTTTTTATTTATTTATTAATTTTTATTTTACTTGTGTGATTTTTGATTTTTAATTTTTTGTTTTTTTTTTTTTTTACTTGTTTTTAAATTAATTTATTAATTTTTTATTACGTTGGGTAAAATAATAATAATGATAATAATAGGTAACAAAATATGAAAAAAAAGGTTTTAAAGGTTAAAATTATGATTAAATCAATGTTTTGTTAATTAATTAAATAAAAAATAGGAAGGAAAAGTTTTAAAGTCTGACAATTTAATTGTCTCGTTATCATCGTGATTACAATAATTATTTACTCTATGACGGTGATGACGTCACTGACTGACTGATGACGTTTATGATACGGCTTAATTTTTTTTTATTTTTTTTATTCGTCGATTTTTTAAAGGACGACATTTTTTTTTATTAATTCATTCCACGCTATCGTCATTCGAAATTTTTTTTTTCTCTTGTTATTCAATTATATCGTCGCGTTTAAATCTCGAATCTCAGGTGAATTTTGTTTTGGATAGGTAAAAAAAAAAAAAAGAAAAAAAAGAAAATTTTTTGTTATGATTTTTTTTTATTTGATTTATTAAGGGTTCGACATGAGTTTAGCATTCCTTTATCGTTTTATTCTGTTTTTTTTTTTTTTTTTTTTTTTTTTTTTTGATTTTCTATACGATTGATAGAAAAATTGTGGACTTTTTTATATATATATATATACATATATATAAATTTAGTATAATAGACATCTTTATTATTAATAATAATAAAAATTTTAAAATGTTTTTTTTATGTAAAAAAAAAAAAAAAAAAAGATAAAAATAAAAATCGATGTAAATTTTTTATAATAATAATTGTATACAGCGTTAGATTTTTTGATTTAATACAAATAATAATAATAAATAAATAAAAGTGGGAATTTAAATAAATAAATAAAAATAGAAATAAAAATAATAATAAAAAAAAATAAATTGTAATTAAATAATAAACATAAAACTAACGATTTCGATATATATAAATATATATAATAATGTTTTAACACAATAGAAATTATAGGATTGATAAATAATAATTATAATAATAATAATAATAATAATTTAGAATTTATTTATATTTAACAACAAAAAAAAAAAAAAAAAGAAACTTTTATTTTTTTAAATCCTAATCCTCGTAAAAACGTAAATAAATATTAAGAACGGATAAGGAATAGATTTTTAAAAACATAAACAAAACAAAATTCAAGGATTGAAAAAAAAGTTGGCAACACTGTTAAACTCTTGTTCCACGTCAAACATTGTAAATTTCCACTTGCGTTTTAACAGTTTGTGTGTTAACTGCTTCTTAACAACAAGTGTTTTTTTTTTTTTTCGTTTGATTTTTTGTTTTTTTTTTTTTTAAATTTAACGATGGAAAATAAATTAGAAAAATTAATAATAAGATTATTCGAAATAGAAGTAGTAAAATTCGGTAATTATAAATTAAAAAGCGGAGTTTTTTCACCGATTTATTTCGATCTTCGCGTTATAGTTTCACATCCAGACTTAATGGTAAGTTTAAAAAAAAATTTTTTTTTATTAATTTTAATTAATTTTAATTTATTTTTCCTCGTGGTGATTATTTATTTTACTTTATTTTTTTTAATAAGTCAAGGGCACAGTCATTTAAAAATATCATTAAAAATTTTTATACCCTAAAGGTGGTTTTTATATTTTTTTTTTTTTTATTTAAATTTAAATTTTATTTTAACGTGTTTTAAGGGAAAATAATTTTTTTAATCGTTAGAAATTATTAACCGATCTTCTTGTTGAACTTATTCAAAAATCCGTTAATGAAAAATTTCAACATGTTTGTGGTGTTCCTTATACAGCGTTACCCATGGCGACACTCGTTTCGGTTAATGTTGATAAATCAATGCTAATCAGAAGAAAAGAAGTTAAAGATCATGGAACGAGAAAAATGATTGAAGGAAGGTTTAATAAAGGAGACAATTGTATAATTATTGAAGATGTTGTCAGTAGTGGGTCAAGCATACTCGAAACTGTGCAGGTACCAAAAAAAAATTTATAAAAAATCTTCACTGCATCCGGTTGAAATAAAATTTTTTAAATTTTTAACTTATCGTTTACACTTTTCAGGAATTAAAATCGGAAGGTTTAAAAGTTTCGAATGCCATTGTTGTTTTGGATAGGGAACAAGGAGGTGTTAAAAACTTACAGGATCAGGGATTACATGTTAACATATTAATGTCATTGGATAAAATATTAGAAACACTTGTCAAACATAAAAAAATATCGGAGGAAACATTTAAGGAAGTCAAAGAATATGTATCAAGAGTTAGATTGACAAATTTTAAAACGAATCCAGGAACAAATAATGGTAAACGATATTGCAAAACAAAATGTTTTGAACAATTATTGTTTTCTTTTTATTATTATTATTATTATTTTATTTGGTTCTTTACAAATCATGTTGAAATTTATTTCAGATGTGATAAAGAATCGTTTGAGTTTAACATTCGGTGAGAGAAGTAAATTAGCCAAATGTAAAATAGCTAGAAAACTTTTCGACATAATCGAAATGAAAAAAAGTTTGTTGTGTGTTGCTGCTGATGTTGATAATTCAAACGAGTTAATAAAGTTAGCATCAGAAATTGGTCCTCACATTTGCATATTTAAAACACATTTTGATACAATAGAAGATTTTAATAAAAATTCATATTTTGAATTAATGAAAATAGCTAAAAATAATAATTTTTTAATTATGGAAGACAGGTTTGTTATTACCATTCGATAGTAAACAATTTATTTTTTTAAATTAAAATTTTTAATTATTTTATTTTTTTCTAAAACAAACAGAAAGTTTTCAGACATAGGAAACACAGTAAATCTTCAATATAAACTAATTAAAAATTGGTCTGATATTGTAACGACTCATTCAATTTCCGGCGAATCAATCATTGATGCTCTTAAATCTTGCGTTAAGACCGACGAAGAAAAAGGTTGTTTCATCGTTGCTGAACTTAGCTGTCAGGGAAATCTCATAGGAAAAGAATATTCAACGGGTATATAAAAGGGAGCTGGGGGGGAGAGGGAGGGAAAGAAAACCCTCTTTGTTTCTATTTTAATAATTAATTTAATAATGGCGTCTGGCTAATTTAATTTAAATTTTTTTTGTTTCTCTTGTTACCACATGTATAATAGCAACGGTCAAAATGGCGGAAAAACATTCTGATTACGTAATTGGATTAGTTTGCCAATCTCCAGAATTGATAAAAGTACCACATTTGATACAATTAACTCCGGGTGTTAAAATTGAAGAAGGTTCTGACGGTTTGGGACAAAATTACAACAGTCCAGAATATGTTGTTTTGGAAAAAGGTGCGGATGTAGCCGTCGTCGGAAGGGGAATAATAAAATCACAAAATCCAGAGAAGGCAGCCATTTTGTATAAAGAAAAATTATGGGATGCATCTTTAAAAAGAATTTCGATGTCGGGATAGTACAAAAAAAATTTGTTTTCACAATGAATTATTATTATTATTATTAATAAATTTGAATTTATTGTTATTTAATTTAATTTTGCCTTTTTGTTTTTTTCTTATTAAAATATAAATTTTTATTTTTCTTAATAAAATGGAGTGATAATTATTTAAATAAAAAAAAAAAAATAGGACGTTAAAAACAATGTCAATAACTGATTAGAATGTTATCAATATCTATTAATAATAATAATAATAACAACTTGATAACATATCGAAAGGAAAAATAAATTTTAAAAAATAATATTTTTATCATTTTGTAAATAACGAAGGGGGGAGAGGGGAGGGAAAGAACAAAAAAAAAAAGAAAAAGTAAAACTTATTATTATTATTATCATATATATTAGCAAAAAAAATATGCATCGAAAGGAGAGTCAATTAATAAACAAATTTTACTTTGACTTTTATTCTTTTCTTTTTTTCTTTTTCATTTTCATTTAATAATAATAATAATTATTATTTAAAAAAAAAACCGTCGGTTAATAATAATAATAATGAAATAAAAGTAAAAATAAAAATAAATAAAAGCTTACTAAAATCTATTTTATTATTTATTATATGTAACACAATAAAAAATATAAAACATTTTTTTTTTCTTTTTTTGTTTTCCAATATTTTAATTTTACAGTAATAATAATAATAATGATGAGAAAAAAAACAGAAAGAATGAGAATTTATTTATTTATACAAAAAAAAAATAGAAAAAGAAAGAGAAAGAAAAGGAGGATAAAAATACACAAGCACAACCAGAAGAGAAAAAAAAAACAAACAAAATAAGAGAATTTTTTTTTCCTTTTTTGTTTTTATTTTTTACTAAAAATTATTATTATTATTATTATCGTCATAATTATTACTTTAAAAATTTTTTTTTTTTATTTTTTGATTTGTTTTTATTAAATTTTATTAAATTTTTTTTTGATTGTATTCGGTTGTTTTTGTTTAAATTTTTTTTTTTT